CTTGTGTTGGGACAGAATGGGGGACAAGGGAGAAGGTACCCAGAGGTTCCCCTGTGCTCCAGGACCAGTTATACATCCTTTGTCCCCCCCCCCCAACCCCTGGGGCAAAAAGAATTTTCAGGGTTAGGGTTTAAGTCTTGGCTTGGATTTGGCACCAGCTGGACCCACTCTCTGTCCTCCTTGAGTTCTGGGCTCCCAGTGAGCTCCCCAGCAAGGCTGAGCCTTGGCAGGAGACAACCACTGAAGAAGGATTTCCAACCAGGATTAAGGTTCAGGATTAAGTTGGGGCATGAAAAGGGGTCTTGTGGGGCGGGTTAGCAGCTGAGCTAATCCCAGCAGCTAATCTCAGGCTCTACCTTCCTCTAGCAGTTAATGGCCTTGACATTCCTGTGGCCCACTGAATCCCTTTCTTACCCATCACCCCAGTCCCAAGGAGACAGAGATGGGACATACCTTCTTTATTGTATGGGTGAGGAAATTGAGACCCTGAATGTCAGGTTTGTTTTTGGGCATAGTAGAAAGTGTCCACATGGGGACTGTGGGCAGCCTAGGTACTTCTCGCCTCCTGGGTCATAGAGAAGCAATGAAAACACCACTGTGCTGACTTTTGAACCCCCCTCACACCCCCACCCTGTTGCTGAATTTGTCCTGCTCAGAGCTGTCCGAAAGCAGCCTCTGCTCAGGTGATGGGCCCAGCCTCTGGAGGTGGGGGAAGGCGGGGGCAGGACCCTGTCTAGAGCCTGAGCAGCTTTATTGTTGTCCTTCTTTCCTCCCTTTAAGACCGCCCATGGCTGCTCCAGCTTCCTCTGCAGCAGATCCTCCTCCCTTAAAACAGCTGGGCTCTTGTTTGGAGTAATTTTTAAATTTTAACTCTACCTTTAGGCTCCGGGAGCTTCTCTTGCAAGAGATCAAGGATGAGGCTGTCCTTTCTGGAGTCCTCCTATAGGTCTCCTACTTAATTCTTTGGTTGGTTGGTTGATTGATGTTGCGGTTGAACCCCAGACCTTGTACATGGTAGATAAGAACTTTTCCACTGAGCTACATCCCAGCTCTCCTCATATATGAGAGGAAGGGAATGACGGGGAAATGGGGTTCCTGCTGTGTGATGCGCTTACTTTTTAATTGTCCCAATTTGAGGGTGGGTAGGAATTGGTATCTCTTTGAGAGATGGGGGAAGCTGGGCCCAGAGGGTTCAATGACCTATCCAGGGTCACACAGCTAATGCGACACACACATAAGCACATTAGTCAGGGGGACATGTGGAACTCAAAATCCATGCTGTCTCCCCTCTGGGAGTTTGGACTAGCTTGCTCTGGCCAGGCTCCTCATGTAAGGGCAGGGCCAGAGTGAACTGGGTTCCTGTCTGACCCCTTTCCAGAGCCGGCCAGGCCACAGAGTGGACACACGCCTAGGCCACTGTGGCCCCAGCCCCGCCTGACAGAATGAGCAGCTCAGATGCGGGGCTGGAGGAGGAGCCAGAGCTTAGCATCACCCTCACTCTACGGATGCTGATGCATGGGAAGGTGAGTGAGAGGGGCTGAGACACCGGGCCAGTGCTGATTTGATCTTAGGAGTTCCATCTTTGGTGGACCTCTGCCAGGGTGAGGGAAGGGGCCAGGCCTGGGGCATTGGTACCCATCTGACTCCATTCTCATCTTGTTTGTAGGAAGTGGGCAGCATAATTGGGAAGGTAGGTGTCCAGTTCTGGCTGGTGTGTCCCCCTCAGCCTAAGGTAGAAGGTGGCGACTGCTCAGGCTGAGTGATTCTCTGTTTTGCCTCTCACAGAAGGGAGAAACTGTCAAGCGGATCAGGGAGCAGGTGAGGAAGGAGTTTGGGGGAGAAGCCCAAGATACCCGTTGTGGAGGGAGAGGAGATACCAGATCCACTCTATTTGGGAAGAGCACTGGGTATCTGAGAGGATGGTGGTTTCCAGCTGTAAATAAGGACTGGTGAGTGGGGATTGTGTCCATTACCTGGCACTCATTCTGTACCTGCAGAGCAGTGCCCGGATCACCATCTCTGAGGGCTCCTGCCCCGAGCGCATCACCACCATCACTGGTTCCACAGCCGCTGTCTTCCATGCAGTCTCCATGATTGCTTTCAAGCTGGATGAGGTCTGGTGCTAGCAGGCTGGGGGTTCAAAGTGTTTCTGGGTGGAGGGGAGGAGTGGGGCTCTGACTCCAAACAGTGGCTGTGGGGGAAGGAGAGGTCAAGTCCAGGGCAGTGTTCTCTTGGAGGTGCATGGGGAAGGGTATCTGCCGAATTCCTTAGCAGGAAGGTCCTTAGGGAGGGGTAAGAGAGGAGTAGAAGCATGTAGCCCACCCACCATCTCCCTGCTCCAGGACCTTTGTGCTGCTCCTGCAAATGGTGGCAGTGTCTCCAGGCCTCCAGTGACTCTACGCCTTGTCATCCCTGCCAGCCAGTGTGGCTCACTGATTGGGAAGGCTGGCACCAAGATCAAGGAGATCCGAGAGGTAAGGGCAGAGGAGTTCCCCACCCTTTGGTGTGGGAGGCTCCCGTGCTCATGGCTGCATACCTCTAGGAGAGCTCTGAGCCCAGGAGCCCTTCTGCAGGCTGCTGAAGCAGCCAGAAGTAGCCTCTGTTTTCCATTTGCAGACTACAGGTGCCCAGGTGCAGGTGGCAGGGGATCTGCTCCCCAATTCCACGGAGCGTGCTGTCACTGTGTCCGGGGTGCCTGATGCCATCATCTTGTGTGTGCGCCAGATCTGTGCTGTTATTCTGGAGGTGCTGCCCTGGGGCAGAGAAACAGGGGGCAGGAGATAGGCCCTGTGGCACCAGGTTGGGTACAGTGGGGTTGCAGAGATAAATTATGAGCTCCAGAGTATGAGGATGCTTTTATCTAGGGGTCTTTCTAGGGGGCTTGAGGCTACTGGGCATTTGGGGCTACTGAGAGGGTCCCCAAAGAGCCTCCCCCATTTGTGCCTTCCAGTCCCCACCCAAAGGAGCCACTATCCCATACCATCCAAGCCTCTCCCTAGGTACTGTCCTCCTCTCTGCCAACCAGGTAAGTGGACAGCGGGAGGGATGGGAAGTATTATTGGAGAAGGGGGGCCGGGTTGGAGGCGGGGATAGAAGAAATTATAGAGAGGGAGAGGTGTGACCCTGGTCAACCTGCCCTGACCTAACACAGTAATAGTCTCTTCACCTACTTTGTCCCCTACAGGGCTTCTCTGTTCAGGGTCAGTATGGAGCTGTGACCCCTGCTGAGGTGAGTGAACCACAGCCAAGACTCTCCCTGTCTGAGCTAAGCCTCCTCTAACTTCTGATCTCTGACCCCTCTTTGGCACAGGTCACCAAGCTCCAGCAGCTCTCGGGCCATGCAGTCCCTTTTGCCTCACCCAGTGTGGTGCCAGGTAAACAGCCCCTGCAGGAGGAGGCAGATCCAAGAGGCTGGGCAGCACTCTTTGATGGACATGGGGTTCAGAGAGGCCCACCACACACTCAGTTCCTCTCCTCTGCCTTAGGACTCGATCCAGCTGCACAAACCAGCTCCCAGGAGTTTTTGGTTCCCAATGATGTGAGCAGGGGATATAGTGGCTGGAGGGTGGTAAGAGAGATGAGGTTCTGGGCCATGCTTAAGGTCAACTTCTGCCTTTTCCCTAGCTGATTGGCTGCGTGATCGGTCGCCAGGGCAGCAAGATCAGTGAGATCCGGCAGATGTCTGGGGCACATATCAAGATCGGGAATCAAGCAGAGGGTGCTGGTGAGCGGCACATAACCATCACTGGCTCGCCAGTCTCCATCGCCCTGGCCCAGTACCTCATCACTGCCTGGTGAGCATGGAGTGGACAATGGGGGATCCCAGGTGGGGAGGGGAAAACTGACCTCCTTCCTCTCTGGACTGGTCCTCGCCTCCTAGAACTCACATCTCTACAGTACTCTACCCAAGCCCCCTTGTTACTCTAGTCTCACGTTCTTTCCCCATTGCTGTCTCTGTCCCCTGGGTCTTTGCCCACAGCCCCATTTTTACTCTCATCTCACACTAGATCTGGTTATCATCCCTCCCTTCCTCCTCACATTCTACCTTTCCCACTTTCCCCCAAGTATACTTACCCCACTACTCTCAGTGCTTCTCTTCTGTCTTTGGCTAGTCTCAAACCGTGTATCTTCCCTCATTGCCCCCATCTCACTCCTGCTCTCCCCTTCATCTCCCCTCTATATCCCTCTCTCCAGTCTAGAGACGGCCAAGTCTACCTCTGGGGGGACGCCCGGCTCGGCCCCCGCAGACCTGCCTGCCCCCTTCTCGCCGCCCCTGACGGCCCTGCCCACGGCTCCCCCAGGCCTGCTGGGCACACCCTATGCCATCTCCCTCTCCAACTTCATCGGCCTCAAGCCTGTGCCCTTCTTGGCTCTACCACCTGCTTCCCCAGGGCCACCACCGGGCTTGGCGGCCTACACTGCCAAGATGGCAGCGGCCAATGGGAGCAAGAAAGCTGAGCGGCAGAAATTCTCCCCCTACTGAGGCCAGCTGAGGCACAGGCGGGGGCAGGCAGGACCTCCGGCAGGGTCTGCCTCCACATCCTACCTGTCCAAGGAAACTCCACCCTGGGGTCCCAAATGCAGCCGCTAACGCCAGACGCATGGATACATCCCCTACCCTGCCCGTCTTTGGAGTTCCTACTCTTGGAGAAGGGGCAGTTTTTGGCCCAGGGTTTTGGGAGCTGCGGCAGCCCTTGGCCAGAGGACCCTATCTTTAGCTCTGGGAGCAGCCAGGGGCCTCCCTAGTGCCCCACCATGGGGGGAACCATGTATTCTCTATCCCTTAGGGCTCTCTACCTACGGCCCCCCAGTGGGAATCAAGGAGGGCCCGGGGCCAAGCTTCTCTCCAACTCCCTGCAGATTCCCGCTGCTTCCATGGGTAATACTTTTTGACTGGAATGGACTGGCTGGGCTTGTCAGGGGCAACCCAAAGAGGGGGCTCTGCTGGGTAGCTGAGGGAGTGGCTTGGGGGGGCAGGGGCCCAAGCAGCAGACACTCTGTACAGTTTTTTCAATCCCTGTTTTTGAATAAATATTCTCAGCGACCAGAAAGGTGTGAAATACTGGTGTTGGGGTGGTAAAATGTGCAGAAAGTGGGTGCAGCAGAAGCCCCAGAGGACTTTCATCTTTGACTTGGGCTCCAGCCCCCTCCACACACCACTTTTCAGGTTTCAGGGCCTTTGGGGGTTGTCCAGCCTCCTGCTTCTAGCATTAGAGAGATCTAGTTGTCTTCTGGACACAGAAGTAGATAGAAGAGTTCAGTAGCTTTGTCCAGCTTTGTCTCCCTGGTTCAGATGTTGGGGAAGTCCTTCTGAGGGTCCACCTCCTGGTGCCTTCTACTGTGGCTTGGCCCATCCTTGGGGACTTGCGGGCCATCCATGAGTTAAACAACCTGTGCCAGAGGGACTCTCAGAGATGATTCAGGGTACAGAAGGGGAAACTGAGGTCTCAGGAGAGTAGGTTGTGCACAGGGCTGTGCCATGTGGCTCAGAACCAAAAATTCTGGAGAAGTCTCTGGACCTTGCCAGACTGCAGACAAACTGTCTCCCATTTCAGTGCCAAAAGTCCAGGCTGGGCACCTGCTGCCGCCTGTGCAGGAGGCTGGATGGGTCTTCTTTGATAGCGCCCTCTTTCCTCAGTCAGGAGAAGGAGCTCTTAAGTGGTTTCTGGCAGGCTCAGGCTGGGTCCTCCCGCAAATCCGCCGGCCTGCTGGCGTGCCTCAGAAGGGCCCAGGGCAGGGCCTTCTGGGGGTCCCTTGAGGCGCTGCAGGAGTGCTCGAGGGTGCCAGGCTTTTGGGACCCGAGGCAGAGCACGGCGGGTGAGGCGGCCCAACGCCAAACGTACAGGGCGCTGCAGCAAGCCATACAGGAAGGGGTGAGCAGCGAAGGCCGAGTAGGCCACCCAGGTGACAGCCGCCTCGGCCTCTGCTGCCTGCGCTGCTGGCGCCAAGCACGCACAGCCATAAGGCAGCCAGCAGGCTGCAAATTGGCCTACTGCCAGACCTGGGGCCAGGGCTGCTTTTCCTCCGGGCAGGCGAGGCCGGAGGGTAGGCAAGAAGGAGAGGCGGCTGTCCAGAGAGTCCGATCGCAGCCGGGTACCGCGCATGGGCAGCGGGGGACGCAGGGCGGCGCGACGCGCCACGAGGAAGATGCTGCCATAGGCGCCAAGCAGCAGGAGCGCAGGCAGCGCGAAGGCCAGCAGCGCCCAGAGTGGCCTGAAGGGTTTGAGGCCTCCAACCAGGACCGAGCAGCGCGCCGGGGCTGGTGGCGGCGCAGGTGGCGGCCCAAGCAAGGACAACGCACCCAGAAGCCCAGCAGCGGCCCACACTGCAGTGAGCACGAGCCCGGGCGCCGGCCGCCCGCCAGGACGCAGCGGGTATGCAATGAGGCGATAGCGCGCCAGGCCTAGCGCGGCCACGCCAAGCGTACATGCGGGCAGCAGCGCCGCGGAGAGGAAGCGTGCAGCTCTGCACGGCCCGGGTCCCAGGCGCACGCGGCCCAACCCAGGAGGGGGTGCGGCTAGCAAGCTCAACGGCATGATGGAAGCGGCTGCCAGAAGGTCCACAACGCATAGGTGCACCAGATAGAGCGTGTCTTGCAGGCCAGGTGTGCGTAGCACCACAACCAGCAGTGCCCCGTTACCCAATAGGGCCCCCACCTCCACGAGAACTGCCAGGATCAAGCCCACCGAGCCTGCAACTTCTGCGGCGATCAGCCCTGTGGTGTTGGCCATTGGAATGCTCAGGCTTCACCTGTGCCAGTATGCAGAGAGGCGATGGGATCCTTCAGTGCCACAGTTCCCATTACCTGACCCTCGTTCTTCTGGTCCCTCACCTCATAGGCTGCCCAGAAGGGGGCTCCGATGCCCAGGCTGCCATTCTTTTGGGAGTTTGGTGGGCGCCTTGGAGAGTGCAAGTCTGAGCCTGCTGGCTCTCTCTCCTTGCTCTAGACCAGCCATTCAGCCTCTGCCGGAGATGGTACTGGCTGTTACTCTGATGTTGCTCTTTGGAGACACATGGAGCTGGCAAGGGAGGGGCAGAGCCTGGCGCCAGCCCCTGGGTCCTAGCAGCTGCCAGCTGGAGGCTGGAGGCGCTGCTGTGGAAGTGCTAGGGGGTGGGGGTAGGGTGGGGGAATAAGGGGTGGTAGGGTGGTGAGTAAAGCAGGCGCCAGCCTAGAGAAGGGGGATTACAGTGTCCCTTTAGAGCCAGCCAGACCCCGTCACGCCTTTTCTAGGGTGGGAAATATGTGCACAGGGAGTGATCAGTTACCCCAAACTGGTTAAAATTGCTGGAGCAGGGCTGGGTGTGGTGGCACATGCCTGTAATCCCAGCACTTGGGAGGCTGAGACAGGAGGATCACTGTGAATTTGAGGCCAGCTGTGGCTACATAGTGAGTTTGAGGTCAGCTTGCTTAGTGAGACCCTGTCTCAAAAAACAAAAACAAAAACAAAAACAAACAACTGCAGCAGGAACACTCTTAGTTATGCTCTGAACCCCAGGAGTAACTCTCCTGGAAGGAAAATCCAAAGGCACAGCACACAGTAGGTGCTTGGCCACTATTAAAACTTGGCACAGAATGGGTGCTGCGTGACAGTGAGCGGGGAACAGCAGATCTTAGCAGACAACTTGCTGGTTATATTTATTACTAGCAAACAAACTCCTTTCTGAGAAAAGCACCCTGAATTTTCTTTAGGGAACCACCCTCCCCCAGTTCTCAGGACTTGCAGTTTCAGTGAGCAAGATCTCCACCCTCTGTTTTCCCCACACAAAAGTCAGTCCTGGCCAGTCAGTGCATGGCACTCAAGGTGGCTGACTCAGGGAGAGCTGTGTAACTCCAGTGTGGCACCCAGTCTCATGGCAAAACCCCATCTGTACCCTGGTGTCTTGCATATGCATCTGAAATTCTTCCTTGAACACCAGGATTGAGTCTTTGGCTGCCTCTTTAATGTTTCCCTCAGGACTCTGACCTAATGTGCACTTCAGACTTACTGTTCCAAAAACAGAACTATGACTCTTGATCCTCTTCAACCTGCTCCTCCTAGAATCTTTATCTTAGCAAATTTCTCAGGATAAATCTCTCCCTTTCCATTACATCCATATCCAATCCACCAAGATATCCAAAATCCAGTGCTTTCTCACTTCCAGCCTCAATACCCTGGCTTCTGCCACCACCATGTCTTTTTTTTTTTTTTTTTTTTTTGTCTTTTTCATTTTTATCGGTACCAGGGATCGAACTCACGACCGCCTGCTTGCAAGGCAGGTGCTTATGCCGCTGAGCTAAATCCTCAGCCCCCCCCCCATGTCTTACTTGGACCATTGCAGCACCCTTCTAACTGATGATCTGACCTCTGCTCCTGCATCTTATCCTGGCCATCTGCCTGTTTGCCTGCAGATCTGTTCCCTGCTCCTTGCTCCCTTGGCCCCTTAGCTCATAGGCTATCCAGGAAGGGCTTGGACTGCCTTCCTCTGTGCTTGTGCATTCCTCCGTAAGAACTGTACTTGCCTGACTCTTTTGTGAGTGTGCATTGAGCGGACATTACAAATAGAAGACTGGAGAATGGGAGGAGGGAGGAAGTATCATGTTCCACCTGGGACTTTAAGCACTCCCGCCGCCAGTCCTGGCTACCTTCAGACAGCCTCCTGCGGGTTTGGTTCCTGCAAGGTGATCCTGGCAGGAGCACTCATCAGAACAGTGTTTCCGGGGCTGGGAATTTAGCTCAGCAGCATAAGCACCTGCCTTGCAAGCAGGCAGTTGTGAGTTCAATCCCCGGTACCAATAAAAAGTTAAAAAAAAAAAAAAAAGAACAGTGTTTCCTTTCATTAACTTTCTACCCTGTATGGTGGTGGGCTTCCCACTATTGTTCATCATCCGAATGCTTCATCATCTGTTAGTAGCTCAGTTCTTCCTCTGACCAGATTTCCCTTGTCTAGATACCTTGGGTAATTTGTTTCAGTGGCTGGATCTTGACTGACAAACACCTTCATGTCTCCAGCAGCTGAAGTGGGTCCTTCTTAAATAAGATGGAGTCATGACTGCTCCCATCCCTCTAAGAGCTCCCCATCATCTGTGGGATCTCAGCTCCTCCGTGATGTGGGGTCGTCTCTGTTATGTGCCTTCTCCCCACATCTCTGCTTCCCTCCTCTCTTCCACCACACACCCAGCCACAGCAATCATCTTCTTGTTCTTCTCACCTGTTATATAACTATATAACTCTTCTTCTTCTTCTTCTTCTTCTTCTTCTTCTTCTTCTTCTTCTTCTTCTTCTTTGTCGTCGTCGTTGTCGTTGTCGTCGTCTTCGTCTTTTTGAGACAGGGTCTCTATGCAGTTCAGGCTGGCCTTGTGCTCACTTTGTAGCCAAGGCTGGTCTTGAACTCGCAACAATCCTCCTGCCTCAGCCTCCCGAGTGCTGGGATTATATAGCACTTTCTGCCATTGGATCTTTGCACTCACTCTTTCTCTGGAGAGGCCTTCACTGACCATCTTCAACATTATTCCATCTTCTGTAATTTTTTCTTCCTGGCACTTTTCTTAGCTGATATTACATTTTATACTTATGCACATGTTGGTTGTAAGCCTGTTTTACTAGGATGTAGGAGCAGGGACCTCAGCTGTCTTCTTCAAGCATGTGCCCCCCAAATCCACATGGCCAGTGTCACTGCAGATCCAGATGGTAGAGATCAGCCACGAACCGCCTGGTTTGACTATTTGTGCTGGAATTTTGCAGGCCCTCATCCAATTTTCCATTATTCAAACATGAGGGCTTAGACTCACAGAGTGGAGGAATATGGCCCAGAGCACATAGCTAGAGCCCGTCACCTGCCTCCTAGAGCTGTGTCCATGTGGTGTTCTGTCAGGTTCTTTTTTTTTTGTCTTTTTGTTTTTTATCGGTATCGGGGATCGAACTCACGACTGCCTGCTTGCAAGGTAGGCACTTATGCCGCTGAGCTAAATCCCCAGCCCCTCCTGTCCTGTTCTTGGTCACATTGGGAATATGGCCACTTGCTTAGGGGAAGTGAAGGGGATTTTTGAGGTTGTGGATTAGAGGAAGGGGGGAGCTCCTGCTTCTGCTTCTTCCAACCTGGACAGGCCTGCAGGCCTGAGGAGAGCTCAGCTGGGCTAGGTGGGAGCAAGGAGTGAGGAAGCAAGATTGGGGAAGGCAAGAACTGGAGGCTGCGGTGGGCAGGAGAGTGCTGCTTCCTCCAAAATCACTAAGATGAATTCAAAATTCAACCACAGCCTGGGCAATTTAGCCAGACCCTGTCTCAAAATAAAAAATAAAAAAGAGCTGGGAATGCAGCTCAGGGTGAAGGCCTGGCTTCAGTCCTCAGCACTAGGGGTAGAAAAATAGGAGGGATAAACCAGAAATAAATGCCATGGGAGTAGAGAGGACTAGGAGGATTCTCCTGAAGAGAGCTGTGTTAACCCACGAGAGCTGTGTTAGTATTTTATGGACTGAGATTCATAAATTAACAAGGATGGAGATTTATATTCACTTTAAAAAGTGAATATAAATAGAAACAAATAAACCTAATGATATGGGTATAGGAATTCTGAAACCAAATTGTGTGGGATAAGGCAAGTGGTAAATATATTGATATTTGATGGGGACCCAGGTGCTTACTGTTTATGAACTGAGGAAATACAGCTTTGGGGAAGAATGGAAGCTTCTGTGGTGCCTGACCGGAATTGGAGAAACGGTTATAGATAGACATTCATTTATTATTTAGCTACATATACCTACTTGCAAGCCCCAGGACTGGATTCTCTGGGGAACCAAAGCTCCTTGGAAATGGTTGATTCCAGGTTGTACAAGATGAACCTGGAATATCTTGTTTTGTCAGAAAGTAAGGAGATACTTAACAAAACAAACAAACAAACAAACAAAAAAACAGAGATACACAAAGGGACCTTCCGCTGGCCAAGTCTGAGACAATCTGAGAATCAAAATAAGCAATGACCTGTCATATAGACTATAACCCATTGGATGAAATAAAAATCCATATTATAGTAATAATAAAACATATAAATATACAGATTCTGCATAGACATAAAAGAAATTATGGAGCTCAGTAGCTACCATTTACAACCATCTTAGCAAAACTCATTCAGGCAATTTGTTTAAGATAAATATTAATGAATTGTTAAAGTTTGTGGGTGGGGGCCCAGGATTTGGCTCAACACCACAAGTGCTTGCTTCACAAGCACAAGGTTGTGAGTTTGAGCCCTGGTTCCAAAATAAAACTATAAAAAAGTTTGTGGGTGAAAGTTGATGAGGAATGAGAAATTTACAGTTCACAACATGGCCCCACAAGTTACTGGCTAATTACAAAGGGGTCAAACCGTAGCTTTACCTTGGAGAAATCTGCCAGACATCACTTCAAAGAAGGGATTGAATTTAATATCTCCAGGAACAGGCCATGTCCCTCCCAATATAACACACCCAGTGTGCATCATCCATGCACCCAGACATATGAAGCCTGAATCTGATCATGACAAAGCAGCAATTAAGCAGAAATTGAGAGATATTATATAAAGCAACTTGCTGGTACTCTTGCAAAATATGAGGAATATGACTGGGCATGATGGCACATGCTTTCTAGCTACTTGGGAGGCTGAGGCAGGAGTTTGCAAGTTCAAGGTCAGCTTGGGCAACTTACTGAGAATCTGTCTCAAGGTAAAGTTAAAAAAAAATAGAGGGGGCATGTGGAGGTAGCTCAGTGCTCCTTGGCTTCAATCCTCCAATACAAAAAGAAAAAAAAAAAAACTCCAAATGTCAAAGCTATTAAATCCACTGAGGAGCATTTTTAGATTAAAGGAGATTACAGAGGAGGCACAATAGCTAAATGCAGTGGGTGACCCTAGATGGGGTCCTGACTGTGGACAGGGTTTCATGGTATGTCAGCTTTTTTCCCACTGGGACAAAACATCTGACACACACAGTGTGAAGGAGGAGAGGTTTATTCTGAGTCCCGATTGCAGTTCGTGGTCAGCTGGCTCTCAGGCTCAAAAGTCCTGGCCTGAGGGCCTGGTGGAGCAGAGCTGCTCAGCTCATAGCCACCGGAAGCAGACACCCGAGGAAGCAGGGAGGGCAGAGCAGACTGCATGCACTCTTCATAGACCACTCCCGGGGACACACTTCCTCCAGGAAGGCCAGGCTGCTGACAGCCCACTCATCTGTGGACTCATCAGTGGATTAATCCCTTAATGAGGTTAGTCCCATTACCCCATCACCTTCTAAAGCCCCACCTCTGAACACAAAAGCCTTCTGGGTGACATCTTTTAAATCTAAACTATAAGAGCTGGGCGTGGCGGCTCATGCCTGTAATCCTAGCACTTGGGAGGCTAAGGCAGGAGGATTGTTGCGAGTTCAACACCAGCCTGGGCTACAAAGTGAGCTCAAGGTCTGGACTGCATAGAGAGACCCTGTCTCAAAAAGACAAAGCAAAAATCTAAACTATAACTGGCATTTCTTTCCTGATAGCAGAGCTGTGCCCACTGATAGCTGCTTGTTTGTTTATTTTCTGAGACAAGGTCTGGTAGTGCAGGTTGGCCTTGAACTCATTATATACCCCAGACTGACCCTGAACTCAACAGTGATCCTCCTGCTTCAGCCTCCCAAGTGCTGGTATTACAGGTGTGTACCACCACGCTTGGCTCTTAATTTGTTTATACATTCATACGCAAGGTGTACAGGGACATTTATCACCAAGATACGATCTCCTGACAGTGGTAGGTAGAGAACTGCCAGGTGGATCCTCAAATGACAAACAGCTGTGTTGACAGTTCTTTTGAGCCTCAATTATTAGCACATTGTTACAGTAATGGTCCTGGGTGTGTGCGTCGGGCCCATGTGGATGGTATGTGGTCCTTATCAGCCCATGTGAGTGTCTGCATCTTGGAATGAGGATGGAGTGGCCATGTGCTGGGACTCCAGCATGGAGGAAGCCCGGGCTTGAAAGAGTCATGGTGCAGACCAGTGAGGATCACACCTCATAACCCTACCTGCACATGCTTGAAGTTTAGTGTAGCATACCAGGTAAGCATGCCTCTCTCATATGTTTGCTTTGGGCTAGGGTAGACAGCCCTCATGAAGCGGAACACAATCCACTTTTTTTTTTTTTTTGGTACCGGAGATCAAACTCGTGACACTGTGCAGGCAAGCACTTATGCCCTTAAACTAAATCTCCAGCCCTACCCAAACCGCTGTTAGCTATGTCCTCCAACCATAGAGCCTTGAGGAGCCACTGAGTTGATCCCAGTAGTGAGTTCCCACTGTGCTATCACATCAGGAGGCAAAGCTGTGGGTCACAGCCACACTAGGGCTAATGGGGGCTGGAGAAAAAGGTGATCATGCTCTGAAGCCCAGGAGGGCCTGAGAAGAAAAAGTGACACAGACCCCTAACCTACTACTCCAGAGGGAATGGAAGCCTCCTTAGATGTCTACACTTTACGTTCACTGCACTGCTACTCAGCAGTCACAAAACAGAATCAACCTAAGTGCTCATCAACGCTGAATGGGCAAAGAAAATATGGTATGCATACCTAGAGTACTAAGCAGCCTCCGAAAAGAAGGAAATCTTGTCACTGACAACAACAGGCGTAAACCTGGAGGGTAGGATGCTAAGTGAAATAAGCCAGGCCCAGAAAGACAAACACCAAGACATGTTACTTGTATGTGGAGTCTAAAAATGCTGAACTCAGGAGTAAAGCATGACATTACGTTCTAGGGGCTGGTGGGAGGGCATTTAAGAAAATGTGGGTCAAAGGATACAGAATGCAGTTAGGAGGAATAAATTGAAGAAATCTACTGTAAGACATGGTAACTGTAGGTAATACTAACTGTCTTAGTCACCTTCTCATTGCTGAGACACAATAACTTACACCCACAACGTAAAGGAGAGGTTTATTTTGCCATGGTTGGCAGCCTCAAGGCAGGTAACAGAATGGCAGAGGGGCTTGGGACAGGCAAAGCTGCTTTTGTTGTAGTGTCCAAGGCGCAGATCTGCAAGGAGGCACACCCTTCCTGGTCCTGCCCCAGGGGCTGCCTTTTCTGACCAGAGCCGACCTTCTAACTGCAACAGCAAGTCAGCTATGGTGCCCCAGTCCAGTCACAGCCCAGAGCCCTGGCTGTGGTGCCCGAGGCCCTTGCGTGTCACCTAGCTATGAACCATAAGTGTACAGAGATTCACTGCTTAGCAATGGGGAAGTGTCTCAGAAACAGGTGAGTCTGTCATGGAGTGGATATCAAACGAAGCATGTTACTAATGAAGATGATCATGAGATGATGGGATCTTACAGATTTATCATCAAATATATAGTCCACTGTTGACCAAAATGTTAACTGGAGCATACATATATTTTGGATACAGGTTTCACTCTGTTGCTCAGGCTGTCCTTCACTCCTGGGCTCAAGTGATCCTCCTTCCCTAGCCTCCTGAATATTGGGTTACAGGCACATATTAATATACCAGTCATAGATGTACTTTTGAAAAAATGAAAAAGGAGTGGTGATACAGGGTGACAAGAGACGGTGAGGATGACTGATGACCCTGGAGTGTGGCCGCAGCTCAGAGGTGAACCTCCAGCAGGTAGCGCAGGCGACACTGGCTCTCCTGATAGATGAGGTACTCACTCTGGGAGAAGGGGGAGCTGCTGAATTCTGAGCATGGGATGGGCCGGCCCTGGGGCACCACCACTTGCTGGCCATCCAGCTCCAGTTCAATGTCCTGGGAAGGATCTGCAAGGCACAGAAAGGTCCATCGTGGCACAGAGTCCCTGGTCTCTGGCCTTTCCAGTCTGTCCTGGCCCCAGGCTCTCCTCTTCTGCTACAGAGATGCCAAGGTGCTTTTCTACCTTGCCATCCCTACCACCTTGCCAGGGCTAGGCCCTTCCCTATCTTCTCTAGGAGACACCTGCTCATGTCAATTCCCAGCCAATGCACCACTTTTTAACCCACGTAGAGGACCAAGAGTGACGTACTGGATCAGGGGATGTTTGATGGATGACGGAGGGAATGACTGCAGTGAAAAGCCTGCTGCTTTTGTCCCTCCCCACAGTCCCCTCTTTGCTTGCCTCCTCCCTGAAAATGCCCCAGTCCCCTACTTCAGTCCCGCCCCCATCCTCAGACCTGTGCAGCTTCCCAGGCTCACCAGGTTCTCTGCGTCCTTGGGCAATGACACTGTCGAAGCCGAGGGGTGGGCACATCAAGCTGGGGTCATCCTTGGTGATGTGGTGCTCTTTGCCCAGGGCCACCTCGCTGAGGAACATGTAGCCCACCTTGTGGTCCCCACAGTGCGTGGCAGTAACTGGAGGACACAGGAGGTCTCAGGAGGGCAGTTCAGACCTCTGCCTGATTGTGCGTGTGCGTGCATGTGTGTGTGTGTGTGTTTGTGTGTGACAATGGTGATGCTATCTCTGCTGGCCTTGCTGCTGGGCTTGGGAAAACACTCACTGTGGTCCTAACAACCTCGCCAACTCTGTGCTCTGCACCTCTGCCACCCTCCTGGAGTCATCGAATTCAAGAAGGGGCCTGCTGCGTCTGTTACTGGTATCCTTCAGGGCCAGCCCTGGGACCCTCCTTAGGCCTTCCTAGCCTCTCTTTCTTAGGCTCCTCTCTGACCCATTCTGGTCTTGGGTGACCTTCCAACCTCAGCCCAATCTGTCCTTGGAGGAATTGTGGGCCATGTTCTCTTAGACATGTGGGTGGTGGTGGCCTTCAATGATGTGGTCAGCCCAGGCTGGGGGGCCTGAGCTGGAGAGGTCACTTCAGCCAGGCACCCTGGCTACAATTTGGGAGGCCCTGGAGACACCTCTGACACTCATATATGCTGCCCACTGTCCTCCTGCATTTCCTGTCATGGATTCTCTCCCTTCCCACTCGTTGGCCATAGATTTAGTAAGGGACCGGCTTCCCTTAGATTTCCAGCCTCAGTCACCTTATCCAAAGCTGCAGCCACTAAGATCCATGTCCAGCTGGTCTCCATCAGCACCTTGGAAAGGCCCCCTCAACAGTCCTGGGTCCCCCGATCTTAGCCTGCCGGACACTGCTTAGAAGTTTCGGCTGCCACAACCTCCTTTCCTCTCTGCCACCCCCTCACCTTCAAGCTCACTCTTTCACCCCTTGCCGGTGTGGTTGGTGCATTCATTCTTGCCTCCTCCAGGAAGATGTCCCTGCCTGACTTCCTCCACGAGGCTGTCACTGACCGCCAGGAGCCTCCTCTGTGGCCCCCAAGCTGATGCTGAGCACTCTGGCTGCAGCCCTTTAAGGTTTCCTCTCTCTGCTTCACCAGGAGTTTCCAGAGGGAAAGACTAGCCCACGCTACATTGGCACCTCTCACTCCGCCCAGGGCTTAGCCCAGAGGGTGCCTCACCAGACTTGCTGTTCTCTGAGGTGAAGTAGATGCCCTTGCCAAAACGACCACCAGAATGTGGTGTGATGCGGAGCCCACTGGTGAGGATGGCAGCCACGACAGCCACGTTGGTGCCATGCCACAGTAGCTTCCGATTCCCCAGCTTGGAATGGGCCTGGAACCTGTCTCCCTGAGCAGCAGAGGGGCAGGGAATGGGAGATGCAGGTGCAAAACTGGCATGACCAATGCTGAGTGCCCCTCTGGCCACTCATACCCTCAGGCCAGAGAAACTGGTCAGAGTGGCTAAACCAGCTTACCAGGGCACTGATAAGCCAAGGTTTTTCTCCTGAGGACCAGGGTAGCAATACGGGAGGGGCTGAGCAATCTCCCTTACCTCACCTTCCCGGTTCACTTTCCAAACGTGCTGCAGAGCCGGGCATCTGGAGGTGCTGCTCGTCTGTTCTAAGTAAGTCTGTATCACCTGTGGGAGAGCAGAAGCTGGGGGACTCATGGACTCATCTCCTCAGGTTCTCCTAGTCCCACAGCTCTCCTTATACCCTGCAGACCCAGGGAGAGAAGGGTAAGGGCCAGGAGTCCTCCCAACCTCTCAGAGCTGGAGGGAAGACGGCCGGCACTCTGCAGGCTCTAGCCCACCTTGTACTCAGGTGCTTCAGAATCCAGCAGCTGAAGCTGGCACTTGAGGAGCTGGTAGTCTCGGTCCACTGTCTCCTCTGTTCCATAGGCTGCCTGCAGGGTCTGGGCCAGCTCAATGTCTGCCAGCACCTAGGACAATGGGCACTGGCAGCTTGTCTTTCCTGGACTCTGGCCACCCCCTCTTTCCCCACAGACTGATCCCACTGCCACTCCACCTGTTGCCCACAGTATATAACCCTACCCACCCCTTAGCCCGCCCAGTGCAGCTCATCCCTTTGGGGCTTCTTGGCCACCTGTCCCTTGCATTCTTTGCCCAGTCAGTTTGGTGGCTTGCTGACAGCCTGCCCCCTGCTGGCCTCACCAGCAACATGTCCTTCTTAGCCTGCAAACGCTCAGGGGTGTCGATGGTCAGGGGCCGGCTGCGGCCACAGCTGTGTGGGATGAGAGTGTAAAAGCGGGAGGACAGCTCCTCCAGGCTCGGGCTGCCCTCTGCAGGGGCGTTCAGAGCCTTTTCCAGGGCCTCCAAGGCCTCAAATCCCCGTGCGATCTGTTGCTTGCTTAACCTCCCCAGGGGCATCTTCTTCACATCTGGGGGAATGGGAGAACGGGGACTCAGCCACGCACCCCTGCCACCCTGGGCACTGCCACCCTGCCAGACTTCCCCTCACCTAGGTCCATGAGGGTCATGGTGTTCTTGAACATCTCCTTGCTGAAGATATTGGAGATGAGTTTCTGGGTGGCAGGGTCCAGAGAGCAGGGCTGTTCCTGCTTAACCACAGTTCCTGCTGAGCTTCCGACTCCCTGGGGTAAGACAGCCACATGGGCCTGGAGCAGCTGGGCAGAAACCAGCACTTAGGGCAGGGTGTGGCCCCAGACATAGACAAGATAGACTAAGGCCAAAGAGGGTGGCCGCAGAGGTCACATAGCTGGGCAGTGGCAAAGCCTGATCTGCTGGGTCTCTTCAACAGCAGGCCCCTCCCTCAGCCCAGGCGCCCCCACCCTCAGACTCCTCACCGGCACCACAGACTCCTGGCCTTTGGCGGCTCCTTGCACTTCAATGAGTGTATACTTGCTGGAGTGGGCCACAAAACGGTCCCGCTCTGCCCATTTGTTCTTTGTCTTCTCACGAAACTTCTTCTCAAAGTCTTTCTTTGCATCTTCCAGGCGGGTAAAGCTGCTTATCTTTGACCGGCCCACCTCTCCCTGCAAGTAACAGCCGTCAGGGCTGTACCCACCAAAAATATTTGCTGGTCTCTGTGTTGGGGCAGGCCTTGTGGCCAGTTCTCCTGCATAGTTGGATGTGCAGGGGGACAGTTAGCAGCTGTGGCTTTTGGGGACCCTGGGGAATACGGCTGAGTAGGAAGAGATGGGGTGATGAGGTGGTGGGGAGCAGCACAGGGGCTGGGATGTTTACCACGCGGCCCCAGCGGTTCCAGCAGAAGAAGTGGCTGCCATCTTCCAGCAGCTGGATGACATAGAACTTGTTGTTGTTGTTGCTGATATTGGTCTGGTTCAGGGTGCAGTCATAATCCTCGTGTACCTGGGCAGGAGCGGGGTGGGAGTGGGGGAGCAGGCTGCAATTGCCTGGATGCCTGGCTGCACACTGAGTGGGGCCTAATGGACACAGGAATCTGACACCTCTGGGGCATCAAAGGGACCCTGTCCTGGAGCTTGTGGGGTCACGGTTCTGCCCTAGAGGATGCAGTCAAAGGGGTTCTGGGAAGATGGAGCTGTGTCCTGGGGTGTGGATCTGAGGATATGACTCTCCTCTGAGGGCTGGTTTGAGGGGAAACCAAGGAAGCTGGAGCCCTTCCTCAGGTGTAGTGGAGCCTGATGGGCAGGGCTGGCCTATCTGGGCCTGGTGGGCACAGCCCTGACCGTTATGGTCTTTGGGGACATGGCCTTGCTCTGGAGCTATCCTGGGGCTGGAGTGCCGAGGGAAAGGTGCATCTGTCCTTAGCGGGTAGCAGCCTCTGGCCCACCTGGGGATGCAGCTCACCTGGATGCCAGGGTTGTTGATAAGTGGACAGTTTGGGTCCACACAGATTATGCGCTTCTCTGTGGGTGCAGCTCTGAGAGCCTCAGCAGTGGAGTGGAAGCTGTCCTCTTTCCCTGACCCCCATTGCTCCTCTTTCTTCTCAGGGTGCTCGGTCTTTACTGAAGGCTTTTGTTTTGGAGCCATGGTTGTCTTGGGGAACAGGGGGGTACTTAGACCTCTATGGCCCTTGCAGCCCATCCTGCCTTACAGTACTCACTTGTCCCACTTGGGCTTGCCTTTGGGGGCCTGAGCTATTCCTCCCTTCCTACACCATCCCTTGGACTTCCCCAGGGCCAAAGCTACCTCTCCATCTCAGTTACATCCTTCTCCCATTCACAAGTACAAGGTCAGGACTAGGCCAGTCTGCCCATTCTGGCCAAGCAAGAGGCTAGTGCCCATGCTCTGCAGCTGTCTAGTGAGTTCTCACATGGTAGGGAAAATGAAAGGAAGTTCTTTTTTCATTTGTAGGCCCTGTCCTGTCCAGGACAATTCCTCTTAGCTCAGCATGTTGCTGGGCTGAGTCACTGAGTTATGGGGGAGGGTAGGCAGCTGCTCCAGGGCAGCCATCTTAGGACCAGATCTATCCCTCTGGAGCTAGGAACCCAGGGTGCAGGGCCTTCTTCCTACATAGGCAGTTCTTGCTTGGTGTGGTGGTGCACACCTGTAATCCCAGCACTCAGGAGGCTGAGGCAGGAGGATTTCTGTGAGTTTGATGCCAAACTGAACTACACATGAACTATACAGTGAGACCTTGCCTTTAAAAGAAAGAGAAGCCAGGTGTGGTGGCACACACTTGTAATCCCAGCACTTCAGAGGCTGAGGCAGGAGGATTGTTGTAAGTTCGAGACCAGCTTGGGCTACAAAGTTAGCCCACCCCAAGGCCAGCCTGAACTGCATAGTGAACCCCAGTCTAAAAAACAGAGAGAGACAGAGAGAGAGAGAGAGAGAGAGAGAGAGAGAGAGAGAGAGAGAGAGGAGAGAAGGAGACAGACACAGGAGAGAGTGGGGGGAGAGAAAGGAGAAGGAAAGAGGGTAGAGAGAGATTGTTCTATGCCAGTTCCACTCGAATAGCTCTGTACTGCTGGGCAGAAGTTTATGGGAAGAAGGCACAGGACACTCACCGAAGAGAAGCAGGGACCTGTGCGAGAGAGCTGCCACCCACCCTGGTATCCGGACTGCCTTGTGCACCGCCCAGGACAGTACTAGGTCTGGGGACCCAGAAATCTTGTGATCCTGAGGCAGCCTTGAGTTGGAAAATCCCTAATAACTGTTAGAGGACAGGGAGGAGCCCGGGGTGTGTGTGTGTGCAAAATTTTAGCTATTTGTTTACTAGTGGGTGAGGCCGCGGTTGGCGGCCTGTTTCACACATGAAGAAAGCTGATTTGCACATATCCAAAGCCCAGGGCACAGTCACGTCTTGAACGTTGCTGACATGGGACATGCAGCACGTACACCCAGCCCAATGAGTTGCGGACACCAGCTCCCATTCTCTAGGGCTCTTTGGATTCCGTCTTTTTCCTAGGGCCCATGCGGAATCCCGCACCTCTCGCTCCCCCTAGTGGCTATGGGGCGCAAGTACCGCGAAGACACTCCGGGCCTACTCCCTCCCAGGGTGCCAGCTGGAGAGCAGAGCGCAAGCGCCAAAACATCAGACCGGAAGCACCGCAGAATGGGGATTGCTTCCGACTCCAGCTCGGCGTGGGGGCGTGGTCAGAGCGACTATCCTATGGGCTTTCGGGGGCGTGACAGAATTTGCTTGAGAATCCAATGGTGCTGCGGGAGGTGGGATCCACCGGGAGGAGGGAACCTATCAGGGAGCGGGGTCTTGCCATGCGGCCTTGGGTGTAGCTGCCATGTGAGCTCTCCAGTAGCCGCTGCAGCGCTCTAGGTGGGCAGCATGTCGGCCACAGTGGCAGCTCGAAAGCGGAGAAAGCCGGCCTCCGGGGTTGGGGCTGGCAAGAGGCCGCTAAAGGTGAGGATGGCGTTACCGTGGGCTGTGGTCTGTCTAGTTACTGGGACGGCTGCCATCCCATCCGAGGAATCCGAACCCGGGCCCCTCTCCTGCTCTGGAGACAGCTTCGTCCCTGTCTCCGCCCGCCAAATCTTGAAAAGCTTTGCACTTGACCAGGGCCAAGAGCCATCGCCTTTCGCAGTCCTGGACTCTCAAAGAACCAGAGGGGCCCCTGGTCAGTGCTGGGGTGGCCGGGATCAGACCAAAGAGAGGATCACATAATTAATTCCCAGGTCGACCCTGTGGGTGACTCGAGCAAGTCCAAAGGCAGCGGCAAGATGAACGAGGAGATCTCCAGCGACTCTGAGAGTGAGAGGTGAGCTGTCCTTTCCCACATGGTGGATGGGGAAACTGAGGTCCACGTGGGTGAGCTGGGCCGAGAAACCAGGACTCTGACCTTCGCATTAGGATCAAGGCTCTCCGCTCCAATATTTGGCTCTGAGAAGTCTCATCTCTGTGGTCTCGGTGGGAAACCACTGAGACCCCTTGACTCATGACAGGGACTCAAGCACAGGGTTGGACTGACAGGCAAAGAGAGACAGATGAAAGCCAGGCTTGCTAGAGTTTCATTTTATGTGTCCATAAAGTCACAATTAGCGAATTTCCTACTTCTTTTCCCCTTTTTTTGAGACAGGGGTGTCACTGTGTTGCCCTGCTAGGTTTAAATGATTGTCCCATTCGGTACCCTGGGTATCGGGGTCTCTCTCCCTCCAGTAAGTCTTTAACATGTGAGACATTGGCTTCACTGTCAGGACAGAAGTAAGCCAGCAGGTGGAGAGAGAATGCGTGGGGCGAGAAACATCTTACAGCAGTGTGTTTTGGGAGCAGAGAGTACCAATAGAGAGAGAGAGAGAGAGAGAGAGGTAACACGGCATTCAGAGATCAGAAAAAAAAAGTTTGAAATATCACGGTGCCAAATGGGAGGTGGGAAAGATGGAAGGCAGGTGCTGCTGGGTGCATTCAGAACACAGGGGGCTTCGAGTGTTTCCCACTTTTCCGCAGCTGATGGGAGGCTCAGGGTTTCAAAGGGCTGTGCAGAGTGACACCCTTGTGGGGTGAAAGGTCTTAGTGCATAGAATGCTGGTGACTTCCATATGAGTTGGATTTAGAAATTTTGTTTCTGAATTTGAGTTTCTATTGCTTTACCTTGCTCACAAAAGACTTAACATTTTATTTTATTGTTTTGAGACAGGGTCTTACTACGTAGTTTAGGCTGGTCTTGAACTTACTGTGTAGCTCAGGCTGATCTTGAATTCACAGTGATCCTCCTGCTTTAGCTTCCCAAGTGCTGGGATTACAGGCATGTGCCACCACACCCAGCTAATTTTTTCTACTTTTCATTGTTTTTTGTTTTTTTTTGAGACATCTGCAGAATTTTGGAAGCCCCAACTGTCATTCATGACTCCAGTTAATCACTTTTATTTTTTTTAAAAAATAGAAGTAAAGGTGGTGGCACATGCCTGTAATCGCAGCGCTTGGGATTAGAGGCAGAGGCAGGAGGATTGCTGTGAGTTAAAGGCTAGTGAACTTCATAGTGACATCTTGTCCCAAAACTCCAAAAAAAAGAACCAAAAAAAGAAAATTCTTCCTTTGAGGTATAATTTACATACAGTAGTACTCACCTTTTTTAGCCTGTAGTCCTTTGAGCTTTGACAAACGCACAGCTGTGTAGCTGTCACAACCATGAAGATACAGAATGTATCCCCTCCCTGCTCCGAAGTACCCCCTACTCCCCTGTAGGCAGGGTCTCTTCACTTCTGCTAACCACCATCTGGCTAACCACTGTCTGTGGAGTTGTCTTTTTAAAAAGTTCTATAAATGGGATCATGCACTGTATAGTTTTTTTTTTTTTTTTTTTTTTTTTTTTGCTTTTTGTTAGAATTTTGCTTTCTATGTGTGAATCCTTGAACAACTGATTGGTTTGGGTAAACTCACAATGGTGGCCTTGTGTGGGAGGGGCAGTATCAACCCTGCTGCTTGAAGGCTTGGCAAGCCCTAAATGGTCTCTGGAGCATTGTTTGGCCTTGGATTTCTGGAGTTTTCAAGGTCTCTTCGGTGCGAAATCATAGGCTAAGTCGTGTGTGTACTGGGAAACACAGTTGGGGCATTTGATAGAGACTAGGTGTCCCAGGCATACAGTCAGAGGTAGAGGGCTACCCTGGATTTTCCTATTTTTCACCCAAGACTGGGTCTTACATTGTAGGTTAGACTGGTGTTGAACTCACTGTGCAACGTAGTAGGCTGGTCTCAAACTCTCAGCAATCCTGCTGCCTCTGCCTCCCCAAGTGTCAGGCATGAGCCACCACACTATCCTGAGTATCCTGGCTATCCTGAGTTTCTGCTTCTGAGTTCCCATAATCTACCTCCAGCTGCAAGAAGTGGGTCAAAGCAGGACCTATATTTGAATGGAGAGAATGCCCTTGGTTGGCCAAGGGATGAGGTCTAGGAAGGGGACAGAGAAACTTTTATCTGTACAAGGCCAAGCCACAACCAGTTAGGATTCATCTGGAACTTTGTCCTGAGGGTATAGGACAGTGCTCTGGCAGTGAGCCTAGGATGGTGACAGTCCCAGTGTATCTGTTTCTTTTAGTCTTGGGTCTGACTAACTGGTTGTCCCCCAGTTGGACGCTGTTTGTCTTCTTGGGATCTACCTTTACTGCTCTGTTGCATCTCCTTCTGCCTTCCTGCTTCCCTCGTGTTTGGGAAGCCCATTCTCTATCCATCCAAAGAAAGGAGAAAAATCAATTCTAAATTACCTTGTCTTTCTTTTTTTTTGTCTTTTTCCTTTTCATCGGTACCAGGGATCGAACTCACGACTGCCTGCTTGCAAGGCAGGCGCTTATGCTGCTGAGCTAAATCCCCAGTCCCAATTACCTTGTCTTTCTGACAGTTTCTTTTTTGGGTGCTGAGAATTGAACCCAGGCATTGTGTACACTGTGCCCAGGCTCTATCACCAAGCTACATACCCTGAACGCCTGGTACTGACTTCATTTTTCCTAAGGCTTTCAAGGGGGAGGGTATTCCAGGGGTTGGCATTTTCCTTCAGAGTTTTGTCTTCTGATTCTCAGTGTTAGGACTAAGATGTCTGAAGTTGTTTTGATTTTTCTTGGTTTTCCTTAGAACTTTCTGTTTCCCTAAGGGTTGAGAAATTTCACAGTGATCTCTGGAGGTTTGGTCTGTTCTCAGCCTATGTCAGCCATGAAATGAGGCCTTTCAGCTGGCTTAGTTACATCTTTCAGCTTTCTGCACATAGGATCCTTGGCCCTGAGGGCTGGCAGTGGGGTAGGCAAGGTTGAGTGGCAGGATGTTCTCATTGAGGAGGAGTGGAGCAAACCTCTCAGACCTGACCCTTTGTTTCCCACAGCTTGGCTCCAAAGAGGACTAAGGAGGAGGAAGAAGAGGAGGAACTGGAGGAAACTGCCCAGGAGAAGAAGCTGCGTTTGGCTAAACTTTACCTTGAGCAGCTGAGACAGCAGGGTGAGCCATGGGCAGGCCAGGCAAGGACTAGGGCCTGTGCCAAAGCCTCTTTGTCCCCTACTGCAGCTCCAGTCATGTGCTGGACCACTGGCACAGGTGTCCAGCAGCTGCCTGGACTCCTGGAGCTGCCTGCTTGGTGGGGGTGGCACATGTGCAGGGGTCTTTGGACTGATGTGATTAGTGAAGGCAGGGGGAGATGTTCTGTCCTTTCCTGCTCTCTACTGAAGTGGCCTAAGCTTTGTGCAGGACACACTTGGGCATTTAGAGTCTAGCCTCAAGATAGAGGAGTGGGATGAGCTGAGAACGGAAAGGGGAACCTGGTTCTTGGTTTATGTCGACTGTCTGTCCTGCACAGAGGAGGAGAAGGCTGAGGCACGGGCATTTGAAGAGGACCAAGTGGCAGGGCGCCTGAAGGAGGATGTGGTGAGGATGGAGAGTGGGTGGAAGAGGGGAAGGCTGGTTCTGCACCCAGGACCTGTCCTCTCCTTACTCCTGTCCTCTCCATGCAGCTTGAGCAGAGGGGCAGGTTGCAGAAGGCAGTGGCGAAGGAGGTGAGTGGGCAGGGTGCTTTGGGGTAAGGTTGAGGCAGTTGGCAGCCCACAGGGTTGAGCAGATTTCCCAGCAGGGACGCAGGCTGTAGGGGTCTTTATTATGAACACAGTGGACACCTGGGTGGATGTGTTCCGGTAAAGGTCTGGTCCTTGCAGCCCGGGGTGTTGCTTTCCTTCTGGGCAGGTGGATGGGAAAGAATGGTGTGAGGCAGAGCCTTTACAC